AGGAATTGGAAACAGTAGTTGCAAATTCAGTATTTGTTCATTGATTTTGTTCAACAATATCACTATTTGAAATAATTCCTCGTACATCGAGAAGAGAGCGAGAGAGATCCGTAGGGCGTTATGAGTCACTTCACTTGCGTCTGAGTCACGAGGTTCAAAATCTTGCTCCTATAGTATCAAAAGTATCCAGATGAGACAGGATACCAGAGAAGTGTTGCCGAAAGGAGGTGTTGATCTTAACTGCTTAGCGTGGATCTTGCGCGCAGTTTCGCGGCAAGGCGCACGCGACTGCGAGAACGTCCTACGACAGTATGCAGCGCTGGCAGCTATGGATCCGTGCGCACGCCTATATCTGTATAGCCTTTGTTTATACACCGGGTTGACATTTATTATAAGACGTAACGTAAGGCCAGCAGAGCGGGGTGGGGTGCCCCGTTGTCACGTTTGTGGTGTGGCATTGTCGACTAACCACGCTATCGCACCGGAGCCGGAACGAACGCCGGGTTGGGTACTACGGAGTGAGCGCAGTAGCATAGTGAGGCGCTCTGGTGGCTAGCTGAGTCCGGGTGGCGACGATCACGGCCATGTCAACGCATCCGGACATACTAGGTGAGTGTTCTTACCTAAGGTTATTGCTAGTCACTACGTGTCGACTGGTGGCGCCCTCGGGTGTCGCGGAGAGACATATAAAACGCTACAGAACAAATACTGTTAAACGAATTAGCAGTGAATGAAAAATGAAATGAAGTTGAAACAGAGTGAAATTCAAGTCAGAAGTGTTAGATTCACATTTACCAGATTGCCCGTCGCCATCTTGAAAACAACTTGCGCGCTGCGCGAACAGCCTCGGGAGCCTGATCGCGCTCGACCGCGCGGTGTCGTTCAGCAGGCAAGCGCACGTGAGCGTTTACGCTGTTGAACACGCATCTTGTGATTGTTATGGTGAATAGATAAGCAGATGATTGTAGATAAAGTTGACAATATTCATTCTGCGTTGCATTACATTATGGCCGTGGTGGTACTACTACTGACACCTGGTGGTAGAAAACATTAACATCAGATACATTACTGAACGTGACAGGTAGGTCTGTGTGCTGCAGCCGCATCAGCTGCGTTCGGCTCTGCGGCGGAGTGTAGTAGAAGGTTTCCTCGTCACTCTCCGTCACGTCTAGCGGAGAGACCACGGGAGATCTGCTAGCCAGCTTCCTCGAGCGTTTCGCAGGACTGCCACTCTTTTCTTCGCTGCCACGCTTCTACAACACGAGCAACGTCAAGAATGTTTTAAATGCTGTATACGCCAAATTTTTCGCATACAGATGTTTTCGCGAATTCTGACTTCGCGAGTGGTTAATTTTGCGGTCGGTGAATTATGAATTATTCGGTATGAAGTATTTGCGTGTTGTTATTTTCGCGTCGGGGACGCTTTCGCGAAATTCGCGAAAATTAAACCACCGCGAAATATACAGCTAATACAATAGGTCAGAACAAAGGCAATGTTAATACATCCCAGCGATTGTAAAAACGGACACAATGTTCAATATCTATCTAATAAGATAACTATCGAGAATACACAGCTATGATCAATCATGATCATGATAATCAAACACTCGTTTCTGGTGATTAATTGATTAATCAATTGATTAATTGATCAACCCAAGGTAATTGATGTAATTGTGATACGTACGTGTGATTGTTACACATCGCAGTCGATAAACGACAATCAGACCTTTGTTCAAATGACAAAGAGTTGGAAAGGTGTTGATTGTTTGTCAGAAATGATATGAATTTTTGAATTTTTCTATGAAACATGTATGACGTCAGTATTGGGTATCGCTGCTTCCTATACGGTGCTTCGGTCTTCTGAACAGCCGAGGAAAGTAAGGCCACAGTGCCTATAAATGGCACAACTTTCCCTTTCCTCGCGCCATGCCAGATACCAGGAGTTGGTCGGCGCTAGTGTCGCGCGCTAGACATATGCGTGTATGCCGTGATTACTGATAATCGTATAGAATCACATCACAGATAAAGAATATAGATGTACAGTATACAGATCTGTATTCTATATCTACGATCACATCCTCACTCGTATCGTCCATAGCTTCGTCGAATGAAAAGTTTTCTCAAAATTCATTGACAAGTTAGGGGAATTCACACTGACATGCTATATTGCCGCAACTGTGACGTGATTGTCAACCCCAAACTCGTCCCGATAACTTATAGCTGGCGAATGTAGGGGATAGCGGTGGATTTGGTTGCTAACCACCAGAACACGTATATTTACTTGTACGTGCTCTGCTACCCATTCTATATAAATAGATGTGAAACCTTTATATAACGGAAACCGATAGCCGAAATGCTTAGACGCGTGAAGGATGGGGACAGAAGTGGATTCGAGGCGGCGTTTGGCATGTGGGAGGGGTGGTTTAGGAGCCGATATCTCCGCCTAGGAGTATCGTATTGACAAGCGGTTGGTCTTGTTATAGAGAGCAAAAAATTCTGCTTAATGCAATACTATGAAATTGTTATAGACTCGCAGGCAAAGTAGAATAATGTTGTCGTGAAATAGCACTATTTTCCCGTTTTTCCGTTGTACACTCTAGGTATTATTAGCTATTCGTAATATGGAACTAATTCCTTTGCGTATTGCTTTGCTCTGTGCTGCTACAGAACGTCATGACAGCAGTACCTACGTCGTGTTAAAGGGAACGGTCGACAGCCGTCATGTTGAAGATGTCGGCGACGTTGTTTTGCCTGAAGTTCTTCATGTAACGTCATGTTCTGCACACAATGGCCAACTTCGTCAATATAATCGATTTGGATGACATTTGCCACGCGTAGTTAGACTTATATAGCTGAACGGCACATATATGACCGCCGGAGAATGTATAACTGTACAGCCAGCTGTACATGAGCCGGCCAAGGCAAAGTCTGCTGAGGCATTTAGAAGTATAACACACACAAAAACCATCGAATCATTATGAACAAGGGTCAACAGTGGTATTTCCTTACTGCTTATAAGGCTGGTGAGGTAAATGGAATGAACGGTTACAAATACATCGCAATATATGCTGTTATATGCTAGGACTCTATATGCTTTACATTGCACAGTCGTTCAATTGTCAGACATTGCGCAACGACATGCCCCACCAGGAAAAATTAGGACAGAGAAATAATGCATACGGAAGAATACCCAATACTTTATCATTCACTAACCGAACACTTCAGCACCACACAAGTACCACACAAATATCGTGAATGTTGTATAGAGTTACAGCTAGCTGCAAACAAAACATGAATTACAACGAATGAACACCATTTCTCAGCTTTCTTGAATATGGACTCAATGAACAGAAGGCTATAATGAAATGTTACATAATATACGTGATGGGCGTGATGGGCGCAGCCCGATGATTGGCACGTAGTGCCACGCTTACACAGGCATCGCCCCCAGCCCCTCATCCAACAAAGTACATCTACTGCATTTTCGAGCGAATCGCCGATCTCACGTTCTGCCGCATCAATCTACTCGCGAATTGTCTTAATCGATAGCTAGTGGCTCGTTAACAAAAATTATGGCTATTTAGCACGCTGCGCCCTCGAATTTCCTCGTAAATCCGCATTTTAGTAAGACCGTAAGCCCCGCCCATTATTCCTTATACGGCGTGTACGGCGGTACGGCGGCTCTGAGCCGAGGGCTTATCCGTTATCTGGCCATTTTGCAGACACGTTGTCGCCAGCGCAGTTCCAACGTGTGGGTGACACAAGGTCAACGCGTTAACGCCTAGATTACAGCCCTGGTGCAGCACCTGGTGGCAGCCCGGTGGTAGGTTACTGGGGGTAGATTAATCAAGCTGCGTACGCAAAATATTTAGCGTAAATCTTATGGGAGGGGATATGTGTCAAAATTCAAACGTTCAATTGAGCGATTGATTGTTCAATTGAACAGTCAATTTAATCATTCAAACGTTCAATTGATCGATTGATTGTTCAATTGAACAGTCAATTTAATTATTCAAACGTTCAATTGATTGATTAATTGTTCAATTGATTGTCCAATTGATCATATTATTATATGCTTTATATTGCAATTAAAACAAGAGCAATCTGAGATAGCAAACCTCCGCCACAGCGTAAAAGTCCCCCATCTTGTTGGTTTGTTAAAATTTTCAGAAAAAAACGATGCAGGATTTTTTTTGATAAATTTAGAATGTGTCCGATGTCTTCCCCGCAAATTTTTTTTAAAACAAAAATTTAAACAAAATCATGGATCCAGATCTGGATTCGGATCACCACCAAAATCTTGGTTGTGGGCCCAAGACCAACCCGTCCAAAAAATTGCATAAAAATCCGTCCGTAACCTTTTAAGATATCCTGTTGATAGACAAACCAAGTCACCAACAAACTAACCGAGGCGAAAACATAACCTCCTTGGCGGAGATAACAAACGAACAAAGGCGAAAACATAACCTCCTTGGCGGAGGTAACAAACTAACAGAGGCGAAAACATAACCTCTTTGGCAGAGGTAACAAACTAACAGGGGCGAAAACATAACCTCCTTGGCGGAGGTAACAAACGAACAGGGGCAAAAACATAACCTCCTTGGCGAAGGTAACAAACGAACAGGGGCGAAAACATAACCTTCTTGGCGAAGGTAACAAACGAACAGGGGCGAAAACATAACCTCCTTAGCGGAGGTATATAATGACCTTCACTTGCTCAATAATGCGCTCTTTCCTATAATATAATATTCCTACGCGAACAGATTTATTCGAAACATTTCACTCTTGCTCATCGTCGGACTCACTAGATAAATCGCGCACGCGGGTACGTTTAAACGTACGCAGCAATTTTTAGAACTTTGAACTAGGGGCGTGCCAAACGCAGAATTGATAAACAGCACCCAGCCCTCCGTCGTTCCTATTTGCACAGTGCAAGCGTCTGGCAGCGTGGGCCCTCGCACCTATATAAAGCGGTGAGCGAGGAGCAACCATTCCCTGACAGTTACCGAGGACTCATCGTTGTACACATCCTCTCTATACTGATCGCTGCAACAGCCACCATCATCACCTCACAGCTATAGGTTCCCGAGAATTCCAACCACTTTAATCATGGTAAGATTTGCTACTTGTGTTGTACTAGTTTGTCCGTGTTGTGGTGGTTCTTGGGTGTTAGTCGTCTTAGATTTTGCAGCATAGTTACTACTAAAAAGTTATCAGAGCATGGAGGAGTGAGCATTGTACAATTTGAATTGAGCTAATATGCGTACACGTACACTTATACATAGAAATATTAACCGTTATAATAAATTGTTTAATCGCACTGTGAATGTTCATTCAGTTCTGGAAGCAAGAATTGGAAATAGTAGTTGCAAATTCAGTATTTGTTCATTGATTTTGTTCAACAATATCACTATTTTAACTAGTTCCTCGTACATCGAGAAGAGAGCGAGAGAGATCCGTAGTGCGTTATGAGTCACTTCACTTGCGTCTGAGTCACGAGGTTCAAAATCTCGCTCCTACAGTATCAAAAGTATCAAGTAGTCCTAGAGTATATATATATATAGTATCCGATTATGATCTAAACAATCACGAACAGATCTCATATAAATCTATCAACACGTATTCATGTCATCGAACATTTACTCATTGATTTCTTATCGATTTTAAGAAAAATTAAGATTCTTAATTTTTCTCCAGAATGGAGTGACGCCGCTGATGACGGCGGTGAAGCAGGGCAAGGAGGCGGTGGTGCGGATGCTGCTCTCACAGGGCGCCGACGCCAACGCCGCGGGCTCGTACGGACAGACCTCCCTGTACCACGCGGCTAGCTCTGGCAGGCTGGACATCATGCGCCTGCTACTGGAGGCCGGTGCAGATTCAAATGTCGCCATACCGAGGAACGGAGTGACGCCGCTGATGAAGGCGGTGAGGGAGGACAAGGAGGCGGCAGTGCGGATGCTGCTCTCACACGGCGCCGACGCCAACGTCGCGGACTCGCACGGAGTAACCACCCTGTACCAAGCAGCTTGGTTTGGCCAGCTGGACATCATGCGCCTGCTACTGGAGGCCGGCGCCAACCCCAACGTCGCCATGACGAAGAGCGGAACGACGCTGCTGTTGAAGGCGGTGAGAAAGGGCAATAAGGCGATGGTGCGGATGCTGCTCTCACACGGCGCCGACGCCAACGTCGCGGACTCGCAAGAACGGACATCCCTGTACCATGCGGCTTGCTTGGGCCGGCTGGACATCGTGCGCCTGCTACTGGAGTCCGGCGCCAACGCCAACGCCGCGGACTCGTACGGACAAACCTCCCTGCTCATCGCGGCTCACTGTAACCCGTCTGGTCGGCTGGACATCATGCGCCTGCTACTGGAGGCCGGCGCCGACCCCAACGTTGCCGAGACGGAAAAAATGGAGAGTTTTACCCCGTTACACTACTCCTGTGGTCAACTTCATACCGAGGTAAAACTACGGGCGTATACTTGAGACCAAATTTTAGCAATGTCCTAATGTATTTTCCTATAGATGGTAAAGGTAATCAGTAATAGTAATCAGATAACAGTTAATAATAGATATTTTATACTGTTTTACCGCGTTATATTACTCCTGCAATCTACTCGGTACCGAGGTGAAACTGCGGGCGTACATTGTGAACGACGGAGACAATTTTAGCGATGTTCCAAAGTATTTTTGTATAGATAATAAAGGTAATCAGTAATAGTAATCGGTTAATAGTTAATAAATGAATAATAGTAATAGTTAGTAATAGGCAACAGTAATAAACGTAGTATGCTCGGAGAAACTTGTTCTTTAAGCAACAAACGAAAAATCGGGTTGTTAACGATCCTCGTTTCTTTTGTTCACACAGATAATTACTCACCTCTTGAAACACGGAGCTGACCCGAACCTCGTCGATTGTAACAAGAGGACGCCGCTCGCTATAATAGGCAGCAAGGCGGAGGTGAGAAGACCCGGAATGAACGAGCAAAGAGAATTCGCAGCAGAAATGGAACTTCAGAAATCAATGCTACAAGCAGAGTCAGTGGTACAAGCGGCGTCAGCTCTCCTACAGACGTGCGAGTCCGCCGGCGTACTTCTACAGGTTAACACACGTGACAGCGAGGGCAACACCCCGCTGCATAGCTTCTGTAGGATGATGCTCGCATGCAAAGACGATGTTTACGCGCGAGAGAGGGAGGGGTGCGTGCTGATAGTGCACGCGCTGGTGTTCAACCACGGCGCACACGTCGACGTGGTGAACGCACGGGGAGAGACGCCATACGAACTCTGGCGCCGGATTTACTCGACGCGTTTTCGTGGAAACGTGGAGTCGATTGACGAGATACATGGCAGAATGAGCGCGCAGTATCATTTGCTGAAATGCCACTGCGCGCGCGTTATCGTCAGACACAGCGTTGCATACAAGAACAGGCTGCCTCCGAATCTCATAGAATTTGTCAGGGCACACGCTAGACCAAGGCAACGTAGGCGACACTAAGCGTGTTAACCGAGGAAGCCCATGTAGGATCGGAGATGCGATAACCCAGAAAAATATTATCAATACTTGGTAGGTCTATGTTCTAATTGTTGCACGTGTTGGCAGACGTGTTTCATTACAATGTAAAATCGAGTATATATAGTAACACTAATCATTTTCTATAGAAATGTGTAGATTATCGGTATGATGCCTGAGTGAATTGGCACGATTTAATAACCACGAGTACAAATGTTAAAAGTTTGCAAATCATTTTGCTCTGTAAAAAAACTCTTACAGAGGCTCTGTTGTAAAGAGCTTAAAAGGCTTAGTTGGGTTCTCAGTATTAAAAATAAAATAAAATAAAACATAACTATTTTACCATGAAATGTATGCAATTCGGTAAGTACTTATTACCACCAGAATCACATATTTGATGTGCTCCTGCTACCACACACCACCAAAAAATTATAATCATTATTGACCCACTGTTCAGACGATCCACTTGTCATAATGTACCTACTAATAGGGTATATATATATATATACTGTAGACTGTATATGCAGTCAAACCATAGACTGAAGCGACCCTACGCCCTAGACTTATAAGGAATAAGCCTGTTATGGTTGATGCTCACACATGATCATAGTCAACGTAGATATCCTTTTTGAATAACTTGAATGCTTTCACACCATGCGTGCATGCCACGCGACACACACGTTGTTCTCGACGCGACATCTGACGGTCATATATCATAACATCTCCCCTATTTAATGAAAATAAACATTTCCTGAGTGAGTGCTTCATAGGTATGCAGTGTATATGTAACTCAAAATCAAACATAACAAAGCCAAGTGAATACTCACGTACGTACTCACTGCCTGCTTGTTCTTTGCCCTTACCTTGTAGCTGCGTGTGGTATATTGAGACCTAGCCTAATGGTTAGTGTAGTCGCCGCTATGGCGCTGCGGGAGCTACGACACCACCTATAAACAGTTAATAAATACTTTCCAATATGGTCGAATCCTGAACATGTTATGATTTCAGAGGTTTGTAATAATCTGTATATCTATCATACTAAATTGAACCTATACGTCGGATCAAGACGCTACAGTGGCGACGAGGATTTAAGGAACAAGTTCAGGCGATTTATGGCCAAAATAGCCATCGAGTTAGTGGGATTGTCAGCGTTTGACTGTGGTGGCCAACAGACAACAGTGGGACCACGTTGGACTGTGGAGGCGAAAGGTGTTGTGAATGAGGCCCAGGAGAAGGCTCTGCTCCTCCATTCGGTGGGGTCTGATGTGCAAGAGTTGTATGAGACATTGACTGATCCGGGGCCAGGTGTCGGTGTGGTAGAAGATACTGCAAGCTCAACCCAGAAGGTGATCCGAACACTTGACGCACATTTTATAGTGAAACGCAATGAAACATATGAACGGCATGTGTTCCGGGCAATGGCCCAGTCAAAATCAGAGACTGTCGATCAGTTGGTAGCCCGATTGAGGAAACAAGGGGCGTATTGTGGTTTTGCAAATGTGGAGCAGGATATCCGAGATCAGATCATTGACAAGTGCCAATCAACCAAACTGAGGCGTAAGCTGTTAGAAAAGAGTGAATTAACCTTGTCGAAGGCGATGGACATTGCTAGAGCTTTAGAGTCGGTAGAAAACCAAATGAAGGTTATGGACTTGGCAAGTGGTCTTGAGACAAGCACAAGTGGCGAGGTGAACGTGGTAAAAAGGCGAGAGTGGAAACAACCGAGCAACAAGTCGGGCAAAGCGTGTTATCGATGTGGCAATGTCGGACATTATGCGCGAGACGAGTGCTGTCCGGCAAAGAAGGCGACCTGCGACAAGTGTGGGAAGGTCGGACATTATGCAAAAGTGTGTCACACGAAGCTGCCAGGGACCAGTGCCGGTGGAGATCGCCAGGGCCGCAGTGGAGAAGGCCAGAGATTCAAGTGGAAATCGCGTGTGAAAAACATGAACTTAGTGGAACCCGACTCAAATGATGAGGACTCAGACGGGGTGATGGGTATGTACTCGATACAAGAGGGCAAAAGACCCCCGGTGAAGGTTCACATGAAAATTGAAAATGTTGGTCAAGAGTTGCAGGTTGATACAGGGGCCAGCGTATCAGTAATGCCCGCCCGCATGTATCGTGAAGAGTATGCTCAAATTCCGTTACAAAAGTGCAATGTGAAGTTGACGGCCTATGGTGGCCGGGCATTGAAAGTGTTGGGGCAAATGATGGTGAAAGTTGAGTACCAAAAGACAGAATGTACACTACCCCTGGTGGTTGTAGACTCAGAGGGACCCTTGTTGTTGGGTAGAAACTGGCTAGCTCACATCAAGCTGAATTGGGCTCAGATCTTTATGGTTCAAGGTACATGTGAGTCCAAAAGTGTGGAAGAAGTAGTGAAGCAACATGCCAAGTTATTTGAGAGTGAGTTGGGAACAGTAAAAGGGTTCAAAGCTGACATCAAACTGAGGGAAGGAGCGCAACCCATATTCCATCGTGCAAGGCCGGTGCCGTATGCCCTAAGGGATAAAGTTGAGGCCGAGTTAGATCGCTTAGAGGCAGAAGGGGTGATCAAAAAGGTGAAATCAAGTGATTGGGCATCACCCATAGTGTGCGTTCCAAAGAAGGATGGAGCGATTAGAATTTGCGGGGATTTTAAGGTGTCCGTAAACCAAGTACTCATAGACAATCCCTATCCATTACCTGATATGGAAGACATGTTCGCGACCATGGGGCAAGGTACAGTGTTTAGTAAAATAGACCTGTCGAATGCGTACCAGCAGATGACTCTGACCGAAGAGTCACAGCAATATTTGACCATTAACACGCATAAGGGGCTGTGTAACGCAGGTTTTAACGTTACTGTTTTAAGTTAATGAAGTAGAATGTATGTGAAGCCAAAATACATAGATAAGATAAGATAAGAATAGACGTCAGATGTTTACCATGACTAGAACGCTTTTATTTGGTGAAGTTTACAATGCCTCGGTCGTGCCTGCTAGTAGCCCGGTTGCTGAGCGGAGTTCTCCCTTCTATCTCCTACTCCTCGTCTGACCCTTACGTTCGGACGAGGAGCAGCAGTCGGGAGTTTCTCCTCCCCTCCTCGTCTGACACTTGGTTCAGACGAGGAGCCGTCTAATCTCCTCGATTCCGCCCGCGCTCCGGCTTTTATACTTACAGGCACTCCCGCGGCGCATGCGTGATGCATCCACCGGTAGCCGCATCGGTGTCAACAGGCCAATTATAAACCGATTGAGGTCACTAGGACGACTCGGCATCGGCGTCAACAAGCCAATTATAAACCGATTCAGGTCACTAGGACTCTCGACATCGGCATCGGCGTATGCGCGAGGCATGCGCCATGCCTTCGCGTTAACATCGAGATATAAAGCCGCTGCACTATGTAGATATTGCTTTACACTAATTGGGCCCCTATATGCGGGGCACAATATCTAGCCGCAAGTGATATCTATGTAGATATTGCTTTACACTAATTGGGCCCCTATAGGCGGGGCATATTGCCGCGTGTAATATCTATGCGCTATTTCCTCCGTACTACGTCGGCAGGGGGGGGGAATTAGTGGCTCTACTAGCCTGTAACGCTTTGCAGCGTTACACTTCTCCCCCTACTAAACCGATGTTCAGAAGTGGACATCGAATGCCAGTCTCCTGGCTGGCCGTACGCGTCATGATAATTTTTATAGCCGCCGGTAGACAATCATGTAACATTATTATGTATTGTGAATTATGTATTTATTTGTATTGATGGTAGCTATGTCGCTATCTAACAGAGCATGCAACCGAATAATGTTACATGATTGTCTACTGGTGTGGGCCTCGACCACGCGACCGCGCCCGCGAGCCCCCCCGCACACCGCCACAAACTACTAGAGGATATTCGCGTTCTTGTGGCTGCGAAGCTGAAGCGACGTGAAGTTGCTCAGTTGAGGCATCAGTGGTCGACTCTACCTCGTCGGATGGGTCGGTGAGGGCGGGCCTGATTGGTATCGTGCATGGCGGAACAAGACTGCGGCGTCGCGGCAGACAAGATGGCCGTCGCGGCAGACAAGATGGCCGTCGCGGCCATGTGTTTGGGGTTAAAGTCTGAGGGGGAGTTGCACTCCTCAACCTGGAATTCGTGTTGTAATGGTCCTCGTGACTGTTTGGCCCTCTGATCTGGCGCGTATCTGCGCCTCCGGGTTTATGCCACGCCGCGTCGTCTGCGGCTGGAGGTCTTGTCGCGTCTGGCTGCGCGGGGAAGAGAGTCGGTCGATCGCCCGCGTGCGGCTGTGAGCGTGCCTGCGGCGGGGTGGGGCTAGCATAGCCCGCCTCGCCTCGCAGCACAGGCGTCGCAGCATAGGCTGCGGCGACGCTGGCGCATGAGGCGCAGGGGGTGCAGGCCCAGTTGAACGCTGGCGTGGGGGGGGGGGCCCGGGCCGGATACAGTCGGGCGACGGCTAGCTCAGGCGCAGGCGGCGCAGTTTTCATGGCTGGAAGCTCCTGGGCGCAGGTGGGCACAGTGGCAAATGGCTGGCGCAGTGCGCAGCGTCCGCGGCAGAAACAGGCAAGCGTACGTAGTTGCCGTTCCTCCGTCTTGAACGCAANTCGTTTGAGTTGAGTAAGTCCAAGTTCTTAGAAAGTCGAGTGCTGGTTCCGTACGACGAGAAACGGAAACTGATTTTAGCGTGTGATGCCTCCCCCTACGGGGTGGGAGCTGTGATATCACATGTCATGGACGATGGCAGTGAGCGGCCGATCGCGTTCGCATCACGTACGCTTACTGCGAGTGAGAAAAACTATTCTCAAATTGAGAAAGAGGCGTTAGGCATTGTGTTTGGGGTCCGAAAATTCCATAAATACTTGTATGGGAGAGAATTTCACCTGTTGACAGACCACAAGCCACTGGTGACAATTCTGGGACCAAAAACGGGAATTCCAACACTAGCGGCCGCGCGGATGCAAAGATGGGCAATCATATTGCAAGCCTACAAATATACGGTAGATTACCGGCGGTCAGTTGAGCA